TAGGAAAAAGTCTTTTCCTATGGAAGTCAATCCATGAGACTAGAAGATGCAACTATTACACCAGATACACAGATATCAATGTAAGAACACAAGAAACATGAAAAAGTAAGGAAACATGACACCTTTAAAGGAACACAATAATTCTCCAGTAACAGATTCCAATGAAAAGAAAATACATGAAATGGATGAAAAAGAATTCGAAACAATGATATTAAAGAAACTCGGTGAGATATAAGAGAACACAGATAAAAGAGTACAAAGAAGGCCAGTTGCGGTGGCTCACGCCTATAATCTCAGCACTTTGGGAGGCCAAAACAGGTGGATCACAAGGTCAGGAGGTAGAGACCATCCGGGCCAACATGGTGAAACCCCGTCTCTACTAAAAATACAAAAATTAGCTGGGCGTGGTGGCACATGTCTGTAATCCTAGCTACTTGGGAGGCTGAGGCAGGAGAATCGCTTGAACCAGGAAGTCGGAGGTTGCAGTGAGCTGAGATCACACCACTGCACTCCAGCCTGGCAATAGGGCGAGACTCCATCTCAAAAAAAAAAAAAGAGTACAAAGAAATCAGAAAAATGATTCATGATCTGAATGGGAAAGTCAATAAAGAGATAGCCATCATAAAAAAGAACCAAACAGAAATCCTGGAACTGAAGTCAATGAAAGAAAGAAAAAATACAATCAAGAGCTTCAACAATAAACTAGACCAAGCAAGAGAAAAAGAATTTCAGAACTTGAGGACAGGTCTTTTGAAATAACTCAGTTAGACATAAAAGAAAAAAGAATAAAGAAAGCCTACTTGACATATGCAACACCATAAAGAAAACAAGTATTAAAATTTTTGAAGTCTCAGAAGAAGAGATGGGCAAAGGTATTGAAAACCTATTAATGCAATAATAGCTGAAAACTTCCCAAGTCTTGAAAGGGATATAGATATTCAGATACAGGAAGCTCAAAGGTCTTAAAATAGATTCACCTCAAAAAGATCTTCTCCAAGGCACATTATAATCAAAATGTCAAGTCAAAGACAAAGATAAAATTCAAACAAAAGCAGGAGGAAAGTGTCAAGTTGCACATAAGGGAATTCCCAGCAGAAACCTTATGGGACAGGAGAGATTGTGATGATACATTCAAAGTGCTGAAAAGAAAAAAAATGTCAGCTATGATTACTATGCCCAGCAACGCTATTATTCAAAAATGAAGGAGAAATAAAGTCCTTCCCAGATAAGCAAAAACAAGGGAATTCATCACCACTGACTAGTCCTTCAATAAATTATTAAGGGAGTCCTACATATCTAGAAGTGAAAGAATACTATATACCATCATGAAAACACAAGAGAGTATAAAACTCTCTAGTAGAACAGATACACAAATGGGAAAGAGAAAGAATTCAAACATTACCACTTCAGAAAACCATCAAACTGCAATGATAAAAATTAAGAAAGGAAGTAAGGAACAAAGGATATATAAAACAACCAGAAAACAATTAATAAAATGGCAGAAATAAAATGGATTAAACTCCTCACTAAACTGGCTGAATGAATTAAAAAGCATCAATATTTGCTGTCTATAAGAAACTTACTTCACTTATAAAGACACACATAGACTAAAAGTGAAGGGATGGAAAAAAAATTCCTGCAAATAAAAACCAAAAGCAAGCAGGAGAAGCTACACTTACATGAGTTACATGAGATAACACAGATTTTAAGTCAAAAATTATAAAGAAGGTCATTCTATAATGATAAGAGGATCAATATAATAATTCTAAATATATATGCAACCAACACTGGAGCCTCCAGATAATGAAAAGCAAATATTATTAGATCTAAATAGACTCCAATACAGTAATAGTCGGTGACTTCAACATCTAACTCTCCCAGCACTGGACAGATCATCTAGACAGAAAACCAATAAAGAAAACTGGGAATTTAAACTGCACTTTAAACCAAATGAAACTAACAGACATTTACTAAACATTTCATCCAATAGCCGCAAAACACACATTCTTCTCATCAGCACACGGAACATTCTCCAGGACAGATCATATGTTAGGCCACAAAACAAATGTCAAGAAATGTTTAAAAACCAAAATCATATCAAGTATCTTTCAGATGACAATGGAATAAAACTAGAAATCAATAATAGGAGGAATCATGGAAACTGTACAAATACACAGAAATTAAACATCATGCTCCTGAACAACCATTGGATCGATGAAGAAATTATGAAGAAAATTTTAAAATTTCTTGAAACAAATGAAAACAGAAACACAACATACCAAAACCTACGGGATACAGCAAAAGCAGAGCCAACAGGGAAGTATAGCAATGAAAACCTACATCAAAAAAAAAAGGAAAGATTCTGAATGAACAAGCTAACAACACACCTCAGAGAACTAGAAATGCAGGAACCAGCCAAACCCCAAATCACTAGAAGGAAAGAAATAATAAAGATCAGAACGGAACTAAACAAAATAGAGACTTAAAAAAATACAAAGGATCAATGAAACAAAAGATGGCTTTTTGAAAAGATAAAATTAGTAAACTGTGAGCTAGACCAACCAAGAAAAAAGAGAGAAGACCCAAATAAATAAAATCAGAAATGAGAAAAGAGACATTACAACTGATACCACAGAAATACAAAGGATTATAAGAGACTACTATGAACAAGTATATGCTAATAAATTGGAAAACCTACGGGAAATGGATAAATTCCTGGACACGTACAACCTACCAAAATTGAACCAGGAAGAAATAGAAAACCTGAACAGACCACTAACAAGTAATGAGATTGAATCAGTAATAAAAAGCTTCCCAACAAAGAAAAGCCCAAGACTAGATAGCTTTACTACTGAATTCTATCAAACTTACAAAGAAATAACACCAATTTTTCTCAATCTATTCCCAAAAATTGAATGGGAGGAAATTCTTCCTAACTCTTCTACAAAGCCACTATTACTCTGACACCAAAACCAGATAAGGACACAACCACCACAACAGCAACAACTATAGGCCAACATCCCTGATGAACATAGGATGCAAAAATCCCCAACAAAATATGAGCAAACTGAATCCAACAACACATCAAAAAGATAATACACCATGATCAAGTGGGATTTATCCCAGGGATGCATGCATGGTTCAACATAAGCAAATCAATAAATCTGATAAATCATACCAATAGAATGAGGGATAAAAATCATATTATCATCTCAATAGATGCAGAAAAAGCATTTGATATGATTGAATATCCCTTCATAATAAAAATTCTCAGCAAATCAGGCATAGAAGGAACAAATCAGGCCTCAACTTAATAAAGGCTACATATGACAAACCCACAGCTAACATAATACTTAATGGAGAAAAGCTGAACATTTTTCCTCTAAGAACTGGAACAAGACAAGGATATCCACTTTCACCACTTTTATTTAACATAGCCCTAGAAGTTCTAGCCAGAGTAATCAGGCAAGAGAAACAAAAGTCATTCAAATTGGAAGAGAGGAAGTGAAACTGTCCCTCTTTGCAGATGATATGATCTTATATATACAAAAACCTAAAGATTCCATCAAAAAATTCTTAGAATAAGTAAGTGAATTCAGTAAAGTTGCAGGATATGAAATCAACATACAAAAATCAGTACCAATAACAAACTAGCGGAAAAATAAATCAGGAAAGCAATCCCATTTATAATAGCTACAAAAAAATACTTAGGATTACATTTATCCAAGAAGATGAAAGACTTCTACAGTGAAAATTACAAAACACTAATGAAAGAAATTGAAGAGGACATAAACAAATAGACATCCCACGCTCATGGATCAGAATTAATATTGTTAGAATGACTGTACTACCCAAAGGAATCTATAGGTTCAATACAATTCTGTCAAAATACCCATGACATTCTTCACAGAAACAGAAAAAATAACCCTAAAATTTGTATGAGACCACAAAAGGGCCTGAATAGCCAATGCAACATTGGGCAAAAAAGAACAAAGATGGAGGCATCACACTATTTGACTTCAAAATATATAATACTACAAAGCTATAATAACCAAAACATCATAATATTGGTATAAAAACAAATAGATCAGTGGAAGAGAATAGAGAATCAAGGAATAAATCCATGTATTTCTAGCCAAATGATTTTTAAAAAAGACACCAAGAACATATTAGGGAAAGAACAGTCTCCTCAATAAGTGGTGCGGGGAAAACCAGATTTCCATATGCAGAAGAATGAAACTAGACCTTCCCCATCTCTCACCATATACAAAATCAAATCAAAATGGATTAAAACTTAAATGTAAGACCTGACACTATAAAATCTACTAAAACCTTCTGCACAGGAAAGGAAACAATCAACACAGTGAAAAGATAAACTATAGAAGATATCTGCAAACTATCCAACAAGAAACTAGTATCCAGAATATGCAAGAAACTCAAATAATTCAATAGCAAAAAAAACCAAAAAAGCCCCATTAAAAAGCAGGCAAAGGATTTGAAAAGAATCTCAAAAGATGACACACAAATGGCCAAGTATATGAAAAAATGTTGTACATCACTGATCATCAGAGAGATGCAAATCCAAAACCACACTGAGATATCATCTTACCCCAGTTAAAATGGCTCCTTTGAGCCTGGCCTGAGTTGTCACTTTACTAATGGATATCAAATGGTTAATAGTGTTCCCTAAGAGTCTAAAAACCAAAATGATCATCTTTATCTTGTTTAACCACAAACCCAAGGAAGCCATGGCTATTGGGTGAAAATCCCTTCTGCCTAGAGGTAACACAAAGCCACATTTCCTCTCATTTTCTTCCCACTATAAAATGGTACCAGCAGCTTCAAAACAAAGAGATCACCAGCTAAAAGTCAATCCTCCAAAGCCAATACAGTTTAACACCTACTTCTAAAATCAAAGGATTTTTTTCACTAATAACTGAAGCCATTAGGAGTTGATATAATATTATAAAAACTGTATAAGCTACTTTTCATTTCCTCCACCCAAACATTGAGATCACTCGGAAAAATAAAAATTGCAAAGAAATCCTCTGAGCAAAATAAGTCAGGACTACGGTAGTTAGCTTGCTTCCCACTGGTGAACCTCAGGAGAGAGCACTGAAGCAGAGGGGAGAGGAGGAGGGACAGGTAGCCTTAGCTCTCTGCAAAGTAGGCTTGGGCATTTAGAGGGAGATGCATATCTCCTGATGGGAAGTCCTTACACACATGATTTCGTTCTCCGAGTCCAAGGATTAGAAATGTTTTTGTAAACACCCCCTAGTATGAGTCTTATTATGGGCACACACAAATACCCTGTCTGGATGAGACGGACTTAATTAACAACTATTACCAAGTTATACGCTCTTCCCCAGAAATCAACCTTGTTACCCATGTGGGGAACTTGGCACTGGTCCCATGTGCACTGGGTGCAATAGAAAAAGTAGAAGATATCATCCCTGTCCCAAATGTTCCATGAGACCAAGAAGATGCAGAGTTCAGTGTATCAGGCCTGTACAAAATCCACATAATTGGATGTCAGGCTTAATCTGAAACCCAAGAGGCCACAATGGAAGTGAGAATTAGGCGTCCGTGATGGAGACACAGAATTGTTCCAGGAAGAGGCTGCATCCAGGATCCAAAGATGAAGCTGAGGAGGAATCCCTCAGCCATGGGGCAGTTACACCAAAATTTGCAGTTTTCTTGCCATTTGGGTGGTTTTTATTGGGGCATTATTAAGGCTGCTCTGATAAGCATGCATAAAGCTTACAATACATGTCTAAAAGCTAAACAGAATTGTACAGACTCGGGGAGTGCTGAGGAGAAGGAAAGGTCAAGGAAACTTTATGGGCAAAGTGGGGCTTGTCCTGGATTGGAAATGTAAAGAAAAAAGCATTCCAGAAGCAACCAGATCCAAGGGTGTAGTGATACTGGGGATGGTACATAACTCTCCTGTAGCAAAATGTTGTTACTTGCCCATCATATTGTAAGCGTCCCCAGGAAATGTTTTTGGGAGTTTGAGCCCCTCAGCATTCATTACTCTACAATGAATGTAGAGTGGAAGCTGATGCAACTTGATCATAATGTGGCAGTTTGAATTAAGTACAAACAATCTGAAATGTAAGCAGACAACTGGCTTGTAGCAGTATGATTTTTTTTAGAACATCTTACATTTTTAATCCTTTCTTTATAGGTTTCCTAGACTACTTTGGATTAAGAAAACTATGGAAAATTAGTAAGTGCCACAAGCGAATGCCAGGCGGTAGCATGTGTCAATTTTCCACAGAGTCCTGAATGCACTGCTTGGGGTCTCTGCTCATACTTGCTGGAATCAACTGCAGCAGATTTTAGTCCATGGGTCGCTTTTCCTCATATTTCTTTGTAAACTCTTCAGCATTCTTAAAGAATTTTTTACAGTCCTTAGAATACTCTTCAGCTAGGTCAGCCTGAAATGGGTGCTCGGGCTGGGGGTTGTTCACGAGTACTATGACAGCCTGGATTACTTGGTCAGTTTTGGTTGCTGGCTTCCAGTTGCCAGCACTAATTACTGGCAAACAGACTTGCTCCTTTTTGTCATTGTTTAGGTGATAGATCTTTGTTTTAACTGTGGTCTTCAGTGGTTTCAATAGGTACTCTGCTGGAAATCTGATTTCCATTCTGAAGGCCACTTTATCATATGGAGGGTTGTCAGGAAAAATTAGCCCTTGCCAAGTCAAGAAATTAGCTTCCTCAAACCTGGATGTTACGAAGTTTCTCATTCCACATTTGTGGATTTCTTCAAGCTCCTTCATCAGCCTTCTGCTGGTCGCAATCTTGGATTTGGTGCTGCTCCTTTCCCCAGCAATGTGATTTTAAAGGTCTAGTCGGTTTCTTTTGCATATACAGTCCAGTCCCCGAATACTTGGCTGCTCTCCCTAAGAGGTATCATGACACCTAGACACCTAGTTATCCTCATTTCAAAAAAGGCCCACGGCTGTCTCCCCAGGGCAATCTGAAACACAGGACACACACCTAGGCCAGCCACTGCTGTTGCTCCTTTTATGACCAGCTGCCAGGACTGCTGGCCTTCCCTTCCCAGAGGTGACAGATCAGATGCTGGGGAACCTACGGGGGTGTGAATGTCCTCGCCAGCTCAACTGTCAGAGCCCCAGTGCCTGCCTGGACTGATGAGAAGTTAAAGCCCTTTATTCACAGATCTTTCCATTTGGACCATGGGTCCTTCCCACAGAGCAGAGGAAGACACAAACGCACGATTTATTTTGTTCTTCAAATGTTGTGAGTCTGAGTTCTCTACCTAATGGCCTACTTATTTACAGGAAAAAGAATTTACTCCTGCTCCATCATTGAAGCTAAAAACTTAATCTTCAAGCAGGCTAAGACGGTTGTGGCATTTTTTCCCTAGAGTCCATCAATTCAAGAGTCCTCCTTGATTAAGCACTTGGGAAGACATCTGTTTGAGTTGGCATTTTGGAAGAATCTATTTTCTATTCCTGTGTTAAGGAGGAGAGGACAAAACTACATGGAAGAGAGGGATTAGAGCTAAATAAACTTAAAAGCCAGAAAGAAGAGAAGGCCTGATCCTAGAATTCAAAAGTCCTGGTTTATTCTTTAAATTACTCTCCTGAAATTCAGAGGCACAGCCCCAAGACAACAGCTGGAAAAATGATTTCCAATTTTGGCTGACTTACTGCCAGGTAACATTCCCTAAACTTGTTTTAAAAAAAGAAAGAGTCTTAAAATATGTAACACCAAGAGGGACAGAAATAGGATCGAGTGACGGTAGTCCTTAGGCAGTGTATCTCTCGTGTTCTCTCTTAAAAGCTGGAGTCACGTCTCCGAGTGTGGGAAATGAGCACGGCCTGCTGGGGCTGCCGCCTGATGGACGGAGGGGGCAGGACCCTGCATAGCTCCTGAAAAGCAGCAAAAATGTGTTCTCTCCAAAAATAAACAGGGGGCAGGAATGACTGCGAGTAAAGAGTTGGAAGCACGTGACTGGCAGTTGCAGTCCTGAAATACCAGCTTTCTACAAAAAGGAGCCTGTGAGAGGCAGAGAGCGGGAATTTCAGGAAATGGCCTCTTTATATGGTCTCATCCGAATGGGCTAGGATTCAATAACTGGAATTACCATGTCAGAGGGAGTCTTTAGGGCCAGACTTGTTTCTGATCTTTATATGGTTCCCCCAGATTCTTAAGATGCCAAAACAGAAAAGATGCTGCAGTGCCAAAAAAGGAGCCTTCTGAGTTTAGAAACTTCTCACACACTCTCAGAAGTCCTGGAGAAACTCCACCCTAACCCCAAAATATGAATCAGGCCAAGAGTTCTAAGTCCAAACTGCAACCTGTTTCAAAAAGCCAGTCTAAATACACGCATACATTCCAACAGAAAGATATTTAGTTAAGCAAGATCAATTGCAAACTTCGCACATATCCATCTTCCAGCTTCTAGAAGCAATGTAGCTCCCACATTCAATCTTAGATTACTGACTAAAAGCAAACTTCCCTTTCTTTCTCCAGCAATCTTAGAGAAGATCCAAGAAAGTTGTTCTTTATATGCTTGGTGAGTGGAAAGACTGACAGCAATACGGTATGTGCATACGCTGCAGGGCTGGCATCTACTCCTGCAATCTGTCCTCCACGCACAGTTCCAACTCTGCCAGTTTTTTCCTCCTGCCTCAACCCTGGGTCTGACAACTAATCCCTCAGAGAAATGAGTTTCTCCACAATAGATTTAAGGTCATGGAAGGTAATGGATCACCCAAGCTTAGAACTGAACTCCTGTGAATAAACGTAGTTCTCTCAGGCTGAAATGGACATATAAAAATGCAAAGTCTATTTTATGTATAAGAAAGAAAGCTGATGATCAATGAATGATAAAGCCATTAGGTACAAGACTGACTGGTGGGCAACTGGGCATTCTCACAGTGCCAAAGAATCAACCCATATATTACATGCTACTTGCAGGGGAGAAAAACATTCCTTAACAATGGAGATATCTATCATTATCCTAACTCAGTGATCAAACTTAGCAGCATTAACAGTGGGATGTAATGTGCTGCCACTTGAAACACACGACACCACCCAGGAAAACTTCCTGCCTAAACCATTCAACTGGAATCTAATCAAGCCTTCCAGTCTGATTTCCAGCCTACTGGATATCAGGTGAGAAAGTAATAAGTAAAATGACACTTGGAAGAAAGAATCAAACAAACCCAGGATGTGGGAAACTCTGGTAGAAGAACTGGCCTTAATCTCTTCAAAAGTGTCAATGCCATTAAAAAGATAGGAGTGGGCCAGGTGCAGTGGCTTATGCCTGTAATCCCAACACTTTGGGAGGCTGAGGCAGAAGGATCACTTGAGGCCAGAAGTTCAAGACCAGCCTGGGCAACAAAGTGAGACCCCATCTCTATTACTGCTACTACTACTACTAATAATAATAATAATAATTAGCTGGGTGTGATGGTGTGCAGCTGTAATACTAGCTACTCAGGAGGCTAAGGTGAGAAGATCGCTTGAGCCCAAGAGGTTGAGGCTATACTGAGCTATGATCACACCACTGCACTCCAGCCTGGGCAACAGAGTGAGACCCTATCATTTAAAAAAAAAAAAAAAGTAAAAGTGAGGGAGTTAGGGGACTATTCTAAATTAAAAGAGACTTAAATAAACTAATTGTGTGATTCTTGATTGGATTCTGGTGTGAACAAAAGAGCTATAAAAATACTTTGAAGACAACAGTGGGAAATAAATTTGGAGTGAGTAATAGATGGTGTTAACGAAATTATTCATACTGTTAGGTGTAGACTTGTGGCTTTCTAGGAAAGTTATCTTTTTTTTTAGATATATGCTGAAGTGTCTAAGTAACATGCTATGGTGCCTATAATTTGCTTTGAAATAATTCAGCAAAAAATTATGTATAAAACATACATTATATTTTTAAATATTTTATAAATTATAATTTAAGTAAATATGGCAAAATGGTAGTAACAGTTGAATCTAGTTGATGGATATATGTTGTTCATTATACTAATCTTTTCTACTTTTCTGGGTGTTTCTAATTTTAATGGAAAGTTAAAACAATAAAGAAACTAGATGCATAAAGTTGAGGTTTAACAAAAGAGAAAAAAGGCAGGGTTGGTATGGAGGAGGGTACCAGCATGGAGGTTGTTCCTCAATGCATGTGCTCAGTGAAAAACAATGGGACATTCTCCACCTAATGGTTGGTAATTCCTAACATGCTGGGGACCAGAAAACTACTCTATACCCAAAACACAGGGTCTCAAGATCCCTGCCATGACTACAGGTGATGGAGGAAGGTGCTTTTAGATACAAGTGCCTCCCTGCCCACCCCAGCCTCCTGTGAGATATATTTTAATTGTGTATACCTGAAATTGGAGAAGAAAACAATGTGGTAGAAGAACACTAGAGGCCGGGCAGGGTGGCTCATGCCTGCAATCCCAGCACTTTGGGAGGCTGAGGTGGGAGGATCACCTGAGGTCAGGAGTTCAAGACCAGCCTGGCCAACATGGTGAAACCCCGTCTCTACAAAAAAATACAAAAATTGGCCAGGCATGGTGGCATGCACCTGTAGTCCCAGCTACTCTGGAGGCTGAGGCATGAGAATCGCTGGAACCCGGGAGGTGGAGGTTGCAGTGAGCTAAGACTGCACCACTGCACTCTAGCCTGGGTGACACAGCAAGACTCTGTCTCAAAAAAAACAAAAACAAAAACAAAAATACAATAGATGAGACACCAAGTAATCTGGCTTCTGGCTTCTAGTCCTTGCTCTCCCACAGACTAGGTCCACAATCCTGGGTTTTTCTTCATGGTAGAATGATTCCTCCCACTTCCAAAATTCTGTAATTCTATGGATGTATGAATTGTGGCAAACTGAATTCAGGTACCTAGGAGGAAGGTACCTAAGCAAAACAGATGTAAATGGCAATACCAAACACTTACCCATTTAAGCTGACATGAAGGGGACACAGACAAAAACAGAGAGAACACAGGCCACAGAGAGAAATGAGAATGTGTCATTATAAGGACTTGACTGATGGTGAGTAAGCCAAGCTAGGTAATTAGAAATAATATATTAGCGAATTCAAAGCTAATGATAAAATAATAATATCCAATGTCTACTGAGGGTTTACCATACATGAAAGCTTTAGGAGGATTATTTGCTGAATTTTATGATATGATGAAGTAGGTACTACTACATACTAAGTTTACTGATGAGGAAACTGAGGCTTAGAGATTAACTCAGCTAAAAATCATACTATTTGTAAATAACAGGGCAAGGATTCAAATGCAGGTGTGTCTGATACCTGAGCTTTGCAATGAAGCAGATGATACATGATTGCCTAGTGGCTAGTTGCATGGCACCTAGAAAGGGCTTGAAAGGACAGAACCGCCATAGAAAACAACCAATCTGGGCTGAAACAAAGTACCCAACAAGAGAGACTAGATCCATGCCATCCAGACTGATAATACAAATATAAGACCTGGCAAGACCAAACTGAAAGGACCACATTTCTTTCATTTATTTCCCAGGCTCAAGGTAAGATGTACCTGTCTATGATACAAATATGTTCAATAAGATAGGAGGTCCAGAAAATAGCATGGTCTAATCCTTACCCCTTTAATGAGGCAAGTCGAGGATTAGATTGAGGGAAGCATTAAGGGCAAAGTCAGAATTAAAAAGTGATGCCAAAATCATATTAATAACAGCTTGAACAGTGGGCCAAGCTGTGTTAGGCTGCATTCAGTATAAATCTTCGCACTTGGAAGACAGCTGTGTCTTTACTGCATGCTACAAGATATTTTCCTCATACCAACAGTGGAGTGGCTTTGAAGAAGG